GGGCGGGCGGCTGTCAGGGCGCTAGGGCGGTTGGCGCTCGGGCGCTAGGGCGGGCGGCCGTCAGGGCGCTAGGGCGGGCGGCCGTCAGGGCGCTAGGGCGGGCGGCCGTCAGGGCACTAGGGCGGGCGGCCGTAAGAGGAGGGAGCGGCGGGAGCGCGACGGTAGGGGCGACACGCAGGGTCGCTAAAAAAAAGAACGCGCGCCTCGGGGCGCGCTTCGGTGGGCCCTAGGAACAGTCCCTAGGAGGGGACCTGCTCTGATTCCATGAGAAGAATTGAACGAGAATGAAATGAGTATGAACAAAGGGAGTACAAATAGGAAACCCTAATTGTGTTGTACCCCCTATGGGATACCCCACTATAGCCTACACAAACAAGTAAGCTATGTGTTCTGACATGGTTGCTGTAGTAAGTTTTCACGTATATTTGCAACCATTTGTGTTAATATTTAATGGTTTTGGGTTGTCGGTATAGGATGTATTTCGAGATTGTTTTGTGACGGACTGTAATTCGATAATTGTGTATTGTGCAGTCGTGTTTCACAGCAGCGCTGTATCAACTACCAGATTGGTCGAGCTGGCAATATTGCGCGGCCAGCAACGCTGCGCGCTGGTTCGCCGCACCGATTTTTGCCAATCAGGTGCCCAGCAGTATTCCAACTTTGTTCCTTCCAGCCAATACATTTCGCTGGTGCAATGTGCACCAGCACATACCTAGCAACAACCTTACCTCATCCAGCTTGTCATCCGCTACAGTGGTGGCATGTGTGGTGGAGAGAAATATGTCGGTTCAAAACTTTCTTATCGCCAACTGTACCTGACTTGCTTTTTTCGAGACTGAAATGCTAAAAAGATACGTCCGGCAATAAGAACGATTTGAAACATTATAAAAAGGGCGATTAAGAAGCCATATTGTTTGTTTTTTTTTTTTTGGGGCCTATTATGTTCAATAGCCCTGAAACTTCAACATCCCTCCCTCCTGTCAAACGTTATATATGTCATTGTTCTGTAGGCTATAGTGGGTTTAGCCTTAGGGGGTACAACATTCTAGGTTTTCCTACTTGTACTCTCATTCTTCCTAGTCCAAACACTTCTCTCATTCTGACATGGTATCAAAGCCTAGGTTAGGAACCTAGGACCGATTAATCCTAAGGGCCCAACCTTCCGCTAGTGGCGCCCTCGAGCGCCCTCTTACCGTTACGCCCTCGTGCGCCTCCCTTCTATCGCGCCCTTGTGCGCCTCGTTCTCTCACGGTGCCCGTGCGAAGCTTGCTAGCCTCCCAAGCGCGACCCCTCTTTTTTTTTTTCTAGCGCGAGCAGCCCACTAGCAGCCCGCGCGCGGCCCAAATCGCGCGCGCGACGACCGTAGGCCGCCCGCGCGGCTAGAACCGCCCACGAGCAGCCCGCTAGCCGCGCGTCGACCGGCCCGGCTGGCCTTCCAGCGCGACGGAGCCCCGCCCATAGGCAGCCGCGTCGCTTTCGTAGGCCGCCGCCCGCGCGCGACTGTAGCCTGAGCCCGACCTCTCGCCCCTAGGACGGCGCACGACCCACCGCCGCCCGCCCATAGGTCGCAGCTCATACGCAGTGACGATCACGCGTAGGCTGCTGCATCTCGCGCTTCGCTGCAGCACGAACCCACCCGCGGCGTGTGCGCATTTGCACCTTAGGCGCCGCCGCCCATAGTGCTAGGCCCGCCGTCGCGCTGCCCTACCTGCCCGAGCCGCGCCGCCCGAGTTGCGCCGCCCGAGCCGCGCCGCCCCACCTGTAGCACCTGCTGTTCCTGTTCCTGCTGTTCCAGCTGTTCTTCTCACTACAGCTGCTACTGCTACTGCTCTTACTACTACTACTGCTCATTGTTACTTGTGTGTGCCACCAGACCCAGGCATTGCGACCAGTGAGGCTGCCGCTCTAGGTGCTACTGCGTCTGCTGCCCCAGGTCTTGGTCAGGCTGCTGCTCTAGGTGCAGGTGTGTGTGTTGCGTCAGGTGCTTGTGAGTCTGCGCCCTCAGGTACTACGTTTACTGAGACACTCCACACCTTCACACTGGACTCAGGTGCTTCCCGCTGCTTCTTTCGCAACCGCACTGCCCTAGAGCAGCTCCCTAGACCGGTTGCTGTCTCCCTTGCTGACCCCTCTGGGGATCCGGTCCTTGCGACCTCCACCACTGCCCTCCCTTGTCCTGCTGTCCCGTCCGGCATACTGTCGAGCCTTTACCTCCCCTCGTTCGCTACGAACTTGGTGGCAAGTTCTGCCCTCCAGGACGCGGGTGTTGACAAGTTCACCCCTGCCTACGAGCGTGTGACGCACTATAAGTGTGTCCAAACGGGTTGTCACTTGGCTACCTTCACTCGGCAGCCGGAGTCGGACCTGTACACACTGACCACTGAGTCCCCTCATGTAGCAGCGTATGTGTCTGCGTTAGGTCGGTTGTCGGCCCCCTGCTCGTGTCGCACCCTCTCGCACCGGACGGTCCTCTGGCACCACCGCCTCGGTCACCCTTCGATGCAGCGCCTTCGTGGCATGCACTCTTGTTTCCTTGTCTCTGGTCTCCCCAGATCACTGCCTCCCCTGCCACCGTCCCCTGCCCCTCCTTGCCTTCCTTGTGTCGAGGGGCGGCAGCGTGCCACCCCTCACTCCTCTGAGTTTCCCCCGATAGAGGCTCCTCTGCAGACCCTTCACATGGACGTCTGGGGCCCAGCCCGCGTCCGTGGACAGGGCGGAGAACGCTACTCCCTGCTGGTAGTGGACGACTACACGCGATACACCACGGTCTTCCCCACGCGCACCAAGGGAGAGGTGCTTGCTATCTTGATCCCTTGAATCCGCACTACTCGTCTCTAGCTGGAGAAGCACTTTCGCACGGACCTTCCCGTCCTGCGACTGCACTCTCACAGAAGTGGTGAGTTTTCCTCCGGCCTCTTGGAGACCTTCTGTCAGGGGGAGGGCATTCGTCAGACGTTCACGCTTCCAGCCTCTCCTCAGCAGAATAAGGTTGCTGAGCGCCGCATTGGCTTGGTCATGGAGGTCGCTTGTACCTCCTTGGTCCATGCGGCTGCCCCCCATTTTCTGTGGCCGTTTGCGGTCCGGTACACCGCTGTGAGAGGACGTCCCCGTTATGTTGAGAATAGAACGAGAATGAATGAACTATGAATGAAGTGAGTACAAATAGGAAACCCTAACTGAGTTGTACCCCCTATGGGATACCCCACTACAGCCTACACAATAGTATAAGCTATATGTATGTTCTGACACACCCCCATAGGCAAAGTGGGGGAGAACAAGGGGTCACAAGACCAGTCAAGCAAAGCAAAGCAAAGCTCAGGGTGGATCACAAAGTCACCACACAGTCCGAGCACAAGAGCAAGGCCAAAGGCCAGTTCACATGCAAGAGTACAGACATATATATAAAGCTAGACAAGCAAGAGCAGGTATATATATGTCACAGTACAAGTAAAGTCAAGAGGAGAGCAAGTGAGGCAAGACAGGCACAAGACCCAGCTGGGTGCAGAAGCCCTGATGGTCACAAGGCGCGAGTGCCTTGGTGAACACATCAGCAGTGTTGGCCTCAGAGGCCACGTACGCAAGCCGCAACTGTCCACGCTGCTGTAGCTCACGAGCAAGGAAGTAGCGAAGAGCAATGTGCTTCGTTCTGTGCTCCCGACGCTGCTCTCGACAGAAGGCCAGCATGGCCTTGTTGTCTACGTACAGCACTGGAGGAGAACGAGGCGGCTCTCCAAGGTCAGTCAGCAAGTAGGTGAGCCAGCGAAGCTCCTGTGCAGCCATGGCCCCTGCGTAGAACTCAGGCACAAAACTGGAGCTGAGAACCGAAGACGAACGAGTAGCCCGCCACGAGACAGAGCCGGAACCAAGGCTGAAGGTGTAACCCTGTGACGACCGCTGCGTAGCCTGGTCGTCAGCCCAAGAAGCGTCCGCGTGACCTCTAAGGACCACTGGACTCCGCCCTCCAAGCACTAGCCCCATGCCCGACGTACTGCACAGGTAGCGCAATACCCTCTTCGCTACAGCCATGTGCTCTGGTCGGTGTCTCCCAGGAGCAACATAGCGTGCAAGAATGCTCAGAGGGTATGGAAGGTCAGGTCGTGTGCAGGTCATCAGGTACATGAGGCAGCCAACAAGCTCTGGGTACGGGCCACTCGACTCTACGGACTCATCCGAAGGCAGAGCTGAGATCGAGTGGCGGGTAGACAGAGGAGTGGCCTGAGGCAAGGAGTACGTGAAGCCGAAGCGCTGAAGGACCTGCTGCACCATGTGTGACTGAGTCAAGGTAATGGTGCGGCCTGCTCTGTCCCGAGTTATCTGCAAGCCAAGGTAGCTGCGCAGTTCACCCAGGTCTGTGCACGTGTGTCTCTTCAGCAGCTCGGACTTCACGTAGGCGAGTCTAGCAGTGTCCGCTGTGGCAAAAACTAAGTCGTCGACGTACACGAGGATGTAGAACGGCGGCAGTGAATTGTCGGTGCGCAGAAACAGCGACGGGTCAGCAGTAGAAGGAGCAAACCCAAGAGCCGCAAGCGTAGTCCTCAGTATGTCGTGCCACTCACGCGGTGCCTGGCGGAGACCGTAGACTGGCCGTCAGAGGCTCCACTGGGTGCCAGGAGGGAAAGTCCCAGTGAAGCCAGGTGGACGGCGCAGCCAGATCTCCTCGTGCAGGCTACCCTGCAAGAACGCAGTGCTGAAGTCGAGAGAGTGAAGCTCGTAGTCGCGCTGAGCGGCTATGTGCAGCAGCACCCGAAGAGTGGTCATCTTCGGAGTGGGAGAGAAGGTCTGAAAGTAGTCAACTCCCTGCCGCTGACAGAAGCCACGAGCGACGTACCGCGCCTTGAAGACAGGTGGAGAGCACGGCGGCCGCTTCACCCTGAAGATCCACATGCCACTGACAATGTTCGCCCCAGGAGGGGGAACCTTGTCGACGTAGGTGCCTGTGGACTTCCAGGAAGCCATCTTTGCATCCATAGCTGCCTGCCACTGAGAGGAGTAGGGACCCTCTACTGCCTCCGCGTAAGAGCGCGGAGTCGGGATGTCTAGTGCATCCGAGTCTCCCTCAGGAGCAAGGAGTACAGACGTGAGATGAGGTGAAGCAGCAGCCAGACACTGTAACTCCTCCTGCCTGTCCTCTAGGACGTGCGTGCCAAGAGCACACTCACCCCCGACGGACGGAGGACAGACAGACGCAGACTCAGCGACAAGACTAGCAGCGTAGTCTAGACGACAGCGAGCAGCAAAGTCGACAAGCTCAGCGACAAGAGCAGACGCAGCAGTGGACTCAAACGAGGGGTCAGTGACGACAGTGGCAAGCAGACGCGTGACAGTAGGACTGGCAGCACGAAGGGAGTCCGAATGTGGGTCGGCAAGCACAGGAAGGGAGGACTCAGGAGGAGAAGGTAAAGGGGCACGCAGAGGAGCAGTGGACGGACGCAGAGACATCCGGTGCGTGCCAGGGACAGGAGGAGGACGCTGACGCGAACCGCGACCACTAGCGCGAGCAGCACGAACAGGCGACGCGGGACGAGACGCAGGCTCACGACGCTCAGCAAGACCTCCAGTAGGACCAGTGTAAGGAGAGGGAGCAGGTAGAGGGGAGGAAGGCTCCAACAGTGACTGCGACTGGACAGGCTGTGGACACTCTACCGGAGGAGAAAGACCAAGAACCTGCTGCAGGAGCGGAACAAAGTACGGCCGAGGCCGCGCGGCAGCTCCAGACTCAGCAGGGACAGCACCAGCACCCTCAGCGGCAGCACCAGCGCCACCAACACCTCCAGCGGCTGGACCTCCAGTAGCACCAGCAGCAGAACCACCGCGAGGACAGACAGCAGGAGTCTCAGCACCAACACCCTCAGCAGCCCCAGCTCCAGTAGGACCCGCAGGCCCAGCAGCTCCGGGACCGGCGGCACCAGCACCCTCGACGGTCGAAGAAGCTCCAACTCCAGCAGCACGCCTCCAGTGGCGAGCAAACCACTCGCGCAGCTCCTGTGGAGAGAGGGGCTCCCGCCGAGACGCAGCACCAGGAGAAACCCCAGGCTCAGCAGCCCTAGACGCAGCACCTCCAGGCTCAGTAGCTCAAGACGCAGCACCCCCTAGCTCAGCAGCTCCAGGCACAGCACCCCCCGGCTCAGCACTCCCACGCTCAGCACCCTCCGCAGTAGCACCCCCAGGCTCGGCACCCCCGCGCACAGCACCCCCAGAGTCAGCACCCCCAGGCTCATTACCCGCCGCAGTAGCACCCCCAGGCTCGGCACCCCCGCGCACAGCACCCCTAGAGTCAGCACCCCCTAGGCCCAGCACCCGCAGCAGCACCAGAGTCACCAGTAACCTCGACCGGGTCAACTGCGTCTACCTGGGACACACCTGAGGGGGCAGGAACCTGAGGGGGGGGGGGGTCTACCGGGGGGGGAACCGGCACAAGGAAGTCCGGTGGCGGGGGAAGGGAAGAAGTGCGGTAGGGGAAGAGGCGGTAGAAGGGGGCTGACTCGTCGAACGTGACGTCCTGGGAGGACAGAACACGACGAGAGGAGGGGTGGTAGAACTGCCACCCTGGAGCGTCAGGGGGGAAGCCAAGGAAGACACAGGGAGCAGCACGAGGGGACAGCTTTTCCGCAGACAAGTCGCGGACAAATGCCCGAGATCCCCAGACACGGAACGCAGACGCATCGCCGACCTTCCCTGTCCACAGTAACACTGGGGACATCGCGGGCCGAGAGACTCTGGGGTGAAGGTTGAGCTGATGCGCCGCGTACCTCACCGCAAACGGCCACAGAAAATGGGGGGCAGCCGCATGCATCATGGACGTACGAGCGACATCCATGATCATGCCAATGCGGCGCTCAGCAATCCCATTTTGCTGTGGAGAGTCCGGAATCGTGAAGGTCTGGCGGATCCCCCGTGCACGACAGTAGTCTCGCAGAAGGCGAGAGGAGAACTCCCCGCCTCTGTCCGAGTGCAGACGCACAACAGGAAAGTCCGAGCCGAAGCTCCTCCTGAGCTGGAGACGAGCCTCGCGGATCCAGTCGATCAGCACCTCAGTGACAGCACCCTTGCTGCGCAAGGGGAGGACTGTGGTGTAACGCGAGTAGTCGTCAACTACCAACAGGAAGTAGCGCTCGTGACCCTGCCCACGGACGGGGGCTGGGCCCCACACGTCCATGTGAAGCATCTGCAGAGGAGCCTCTGTCGGGGGGAACTAGGAGGAGTGAGGAGCAGCCCGGAGGCGCCACTCGACACAGGGGACACAGGAAGGTCCTGGCCCGGAAGGAAGGGGAGGGAGGGACTGGGGAAGACCAGAGACAAGGACACGGGAAGCCATGCTCCGAAGGCGGGGCAAGGAGGGGTGGCCCAGACGGTGGTGCCACAGGAGGGTCTCGTGAGACAGGAGGCGACACGAACAGGGGGCAGACTCAGGACCTGACCGGGACGCAGCAGCAAACACCTGACCTGACGCAGCTACCTGACCAGACGCAGGGACAGGAGGAGACGTAGTGGTCAGGGTGAAGAGGCTCGACCCCGGCCGACGCGAGAACGTGGCCAGGTGCCGGCCTGTGCGTGCGTCCGTGCAGTGGGTCACCTGCTGACTCGCAGGAGTGAACTGGTGAACCCCCGCATCCTGTAGGTCCGCACCACTCACCAAGTTTGTCGAGAACGAGGGAAGGTACAGACCAGACAGGGTGCCCGAGGGGGCAGCCGGACACGGGAGGACAGTGGAGAAGTGAGAGAGGACAGGACCCCCAGAAGGGTCAGCCTGGGAGACCGCAACCGGCCGGCCAAGCGGCGTGAGGGTGGTGCGGTCTCGAAAGAAGGAGCGAGAAGCCCCGGAGTCAAGTGTGAACGTGAGGGAGGACGAAGGCGACGCAGTACCTGAGAGCGCAGTCTCACCAGCACTTGAGAGCGCAGACGCACTGGCACCTAGAGCAGCAGCCTCACAAGCACCTAGCGCAGCAGTACCAATGCCCGGGTCGGGCGGGAAACACCGGTAACAGTCACCCTCCTCACTAATAGTCACAGCATACATAGCAGCAAGGATAGCATCAAAATCAAGATCAAAGATCGCTACACCAGCCCTAAGAAGCTCATCCCAGCGAGGGATCTCACTAGCCCCGGGGAACTGCTGACGCCAAGCGTCCGTGAGGCGGCCAAAGCAGTGCTGGGTGGGGTGGGCAGCCCCACACTGCTCACCCGCGCGGTCGCCAGAGCGAAGGACGTAGGTACAAGGACCAGTACCCCCACCCCTCTGACGTCGAGAGTACCACTCACGGAGCTGCTGGGGCGGAGGGATGTCGCGCGAACACTGCTGCTGCTGCTGCTGCGAGCGCTGACCACCACCACCGCCGCTCCGCTGCTGGGTACCGCTCCGACCAGCTCCACCTCCTCCGCCACCACCGCCTCCTCCGCCGCCGCCTCCCCCACCGTCACCGCCACCGCTGCCGCCACCACCACCGCTGCCGCCACCACCGCCGCCTCCTCCGCCGCTGCCACCACTCCCACCACCACCCCCTCCACCACTCCCGCCGCCACCCCCACTCCCTCTGCCGCCTCCACCGCCACCTCCACCGCCCCCTCCAGCTCCACCCGCGCCCTTGCCCCCCTTGCCCTTGCGAGAGCGGCGTCTCCCACTAGGGGCAGACGCCGCGCCAACCGACTCGACACCAAGCAGGTCGGCAGCAGCAGCAGAGGCAACAGAGGGCAGGAGGGGGGAAGGAGAGCACCCCTCAAAGATGGGGGTGCGAGGGTCACCACGAGAAGCTCCTACAGCGACGATGCTCTTCTCCGCCGCGAGGAGGGCCTTCTCGAGGATGTCGACAGTGAGGGTGGTGGGATAGACTGCGAGAAAGTGGTCCCTGACTACGCGAAGAGAGTCAGGGAGGCGCGCGACTACGTAGTAGAGAGTTATGTACATGGGGGGGGGGGTTCTTGGCGCAGAACTCAGCAGGAAGGGCGGCGCGGTAGCGAGTGTCACTAGTGCGGAGGTGCGTAATGAGGTCAGCGACAGTGGGAAAGGCAGAGAGGTCAGGAAAGAGGTAGGGAAGCATGAGACGGCTCAGTGCAGCAGTGGCAGGAGAGGAGTAGCGTGCAACTACAGCGTCGTACAAGGTCTGAGCACTCTTGTACTGACTAAAGTGCGCGCGCTCAGAGGTAGGGAGGTGGCGACGCACAGCTAGACGTGCAGCAGCATCGCGGGTGGCCCACTGAGAGCGCACAGGGGGATCAGCATCAGCAGCAGGGGCAGGAGAGGCGCCAGAAGTGAGGTCAAAGAGAGAAAGGCCGTTTGCTCTGTCGCACTGTAAGAACAGCTGCAGGTCGTCGACCCAGACCTCAAAGTCAATGGCGCGACCCTCAGCGTCAAAAGCTAGGACACTAGGTGTAGCCATGACAGCAGTAGAAGGTCTCACCAGACAGGACGGGTCGGGCAGCGCAGTAGCACAGCAGTACAGCAACACAGCAGCTCAACCGGCTCAGCAGCAACAGCAGCTCCGCAGGACCAGCGGTTCGGCTCCTCAGGCGGTGCAGGCGGCTCGGGCGGCTCGGGCGGCTCGGGCGGCGCGGGCGGCTCGGGCGGCTCGGGCGGCTCGGGCGGCTCGGGCAGTCAGCGACACAGGGCGGCCCGGGGCCGGGACGGGCGGCGCGCGGGCGTCGAGAGGCCGGGACGGGCGGCCAGCGAGCGGCTAGGGGCCGGGACGGCGGCGCGCTGGCGTCGAGGGGCCGGGACGGGCGGCCAGCGGGCGGCTAGGGGCCGGGACGGGCGGCCAGCAGGCGGCTAGGGGCCGGGACGGGCGGCGCACGGGCGTCGAGGGGCCGGGACGGGCGGTCAGCGGGCGGCTAGGGGCCGGGACGGGCGGCGCGCGGGCGATCAGGGGCCGGGACAGGCGGCGCGCGGGCGTCGAGGGGCCAGGACGGGCGGCCAGTGGGCGGCTAGGGGCCGGGACGGCGGCGCCCGGGCGATCAGGGGCCGGGACAGGCGGCCAGCGGGCGGCTAGGGGCCGGGACGGGCGGCGCATGGGCGGCTAGGGGCCTAAACGGGCGCGCGCGGGCGGCTAAGGGCCTGAACGGGCGGCGCGTGGGCGGCTAGGGGCCGGGACGGGCGGCGCGTGGGCGGCTAGGGGCCGGGACGGGCGGCGCGTGGGCGGCTAGGGGCCTGAACGGGCGCGCGCGGGTGGCTAGGGGCCGCAGGGCAGGCCGAAAAAAAAAAGGTGAAAGCGAGGGCCCGGAGCGGGCTCCGGGCAGAAAAAAAAAGTTTAAAGGTGGTGGGCCCTAAGCACAGTTCCCACGGGGGAACCTGCTCGATACCATGTTGAGAATAGAACGAGAATGAATGAACTATGAATGAAGTGAGTACAAATAGGAAACCCTAACTGAGTTGTACCCCCTATGGGATACCCCACTACAGCCTACACAATAGTATAAGCTATATGTATGTTCTGACACGTTATAATATTTTCTCACAATTATATTTTTCCGTTATCCTATTCTCCCTTTTCTCCTCTTTATTTTGGTCTTTATCTCATCTCAATCGGCCTACTATTCTATTTTCTAGAGCCTTCTATTTATTTCTCTTATTTCCTACTTTTCCCACCGACATACCTATTATACGGCACCGACAGCGCCGACAGTAGTGTATACGGTGTAATCTGGGCGTAATCCCAAGTGCCAATAGCCTTGCGTGCTTGTGCGCAATTGTGATTATAGTATCGAGAAGGGCGTGTTCCCGAAGGTTCGTTTTATCTCGATTATCCTTGCATTTTCCGAGTATAAAAATGCCTTGTATTCAGTTTGAGGGACAAGTTTCGATTGAGAATTCGATCCTGTGACACTTGGTAATCAGAGCCGTTCTCACTCGACGACTCTCGGCTAAGCAGCGGTCGCGGAAAAAATCGCCTCGAAAAACCGCCGGGGGCGACCAATTTGACGCCGATTTCTGGTAAGCACCAGTTCCGTGCTTTTCGAATTAATCCCCTTGCGTGGTTTCTGAACAGGATGGTTTCACCGGCGACCAACGACGTTACGCAGCAGCTCTTCGCGCAAATCGCCAAGATGGAAGCGGAGATGCGAGCGATGACTGAACGGTCGCGATTGGAGAACGAGCAGATGCGAAACGAGCTGCAGCGTGTTACGCAGCTCCTCTCGACCATGAACATTCCTGCTTCGACGACTTCGCAGCAGTCGCAACGTCAGTTTGAGGTTCCGAAACTTCGCTCGCCGGAATGGTTCGACCCTAGCGATCGAAAATCCGACGTCACGCGGTGGCTCGCGAGGATGGAAATTTATTTCGAGGCGATGGGATGGTCGACGAGGGAGTACGACGGCGAGAAAATTCGTCTTGCGACAACGTTGATGCGCGGTCCAGCTCTCGAGTGGCTCGGAAGCAACAGTAGCATTTTCCAGGGCGAAGCCACGTGGCAGCAGTTCCGGGCAGACCTTCTCAAACGTTTTGAGCTGATTAATTCCACTTATATTGCGCGCGAAAAATTACATCACCATAGGCAATTCGGGAGTGTCGCGCAATACACACAGCAGATGGAGGAATTTTATAATTGCATTCCCGACATTACCGAGGGCGAAAAAATTCAGTCCTACATCGCGGGGCTGAAAACCGACATTCGGCGCCAGGTTGCAGCAGCGAATTGCAGCAGCTACAGTGAAATCGTATCGGCCGCGGAGTGTTTTGACTTGGTCGACTCCGAAACACGATGGCCCCACGTTGTTGGATCACGACAAGGGGATCGCTCGGCTTCAACCACGTTCGCCGACCCCATGGAAGTCGACAAATTCGACGCAAATTCACGACCTTGAAAAAGCAAAACGTTTTGCGAATTTTGCGGTGGAAACGGACATCGGATTGTCGACTGTTTTCACATGAAATCTGCACGTGCGGCATTCCAAGCTTGTGGGAGTGGCGAAACTAAAGACAAAAGGCAAAAAAACGGATCTCGCCAATGATTGCGGATCGTGTTGGCAAGGAAAAGCAGATCCGAAGGCGTCAGCGCAATCTGGACCGAATCGAAATTGAAGGACAGCATTGGGCGCGAGATTTGGAGAATCAAGGGCGAAATCCCAAGCCCCTTGACCGAAATTTGTCAGAGGGATTTGCCGAGGAAAAGAAAACCTCCGCGAAAACAAACTCGACTAAGACGGGAACTCTCCAATTCGACCCCGGAAAAAAACAGAATTCGTTAAAGTTATCTTTCATAGATGCTTTAATGAACAATGGCGATTTTCGCGGGTCCGAAGCCATAAACAAATTCCGGGAAGAAATACAGAGGAAGCAGACAATTAATGAAGTGGTACCGGTGCCTACGGAGCTCGGGAAAAAAATAAGGAGTGTGGAAAGGAGTAGACCTTTTCACGGCGTCAACGTCCTCTCTCGGAACCAGCCCAAGACGACTCTCCACTCCCCAGGGAAGAAGTCCATGGAGCTGAAGCAGCTGAAGAGGTAGCTGGGAGTTCAAAAGAAGCTGCGGAAACCCCGAAAACCCCTCCAGGATGCATCCACTTGATCGCAGGCGTCGACCGGATCCACCCCCTCAGGGTCAACCTATACGGTTACTACCTGTACTCCTGGCGTTGGAGAGGAGCCTTTCTCGACGCAGCCTAGGCCAGCTAGTTGTCCAGGAGAAAACAGTGGAACCACGGTGTGTACTGAATATTGGGATGTACCCTATGATCCTATTAATGAGACTATTTTGGGGTACTCCGAGCAACGCTCACCACTCCTGCTCGAGGTGATCTGCAACGGACAGCGCCTCCAAGCACTCGTGGACAGCGGGGCGTCGCACAGCGTCTATGACAAAAAGGCAATCGATCGACTCGGAAGTGACATCAAGTCCTCAAGCTTCTCTGCAACGATGGTGGATGGCAGTAAGCTACCTATCTACGGGGAAACACGGTTGCTACTCCAGATTGGACCCCTTCGATGGAAGCCTGCTCTCCCCGTCACAAATATCAAAGGACTCGACGTAATCTTCGGGAGAGACTTTCTTTAAAAGTTCAACCCCGAGATCAACTGGGTTAACCGGACGGCCAACATCAACAACAACGAGAGGAAAATCAGCCTTCCCAACTGGGATGACACGGGAAATATTCTAGTCGAGACACTCGCACGCTTTGAAAAAGACGTCAAACGGACCACAGCGGGATTCATGGCGATAGTCAACGAAGCAGACAACGGAGAGAAGCAGACCCAGGAACTTCCTCCTGCAGTCAAGAAAATTCTTGAAGAGTTCTAGGACGTTCTCCCCGACGATTTACATGATCAACTACCGCCATACCTGACACATCAACACGAGATCGTAGAAGATCCGGGGTCCAAGCCAACGTTCCGAGCACCATACCGGTTGAGCCCGACTAAGCATGGGCATTTGACCCGACCCGGCTCGACCCGTCCCGTTGAGGGCGACCCGTTAGCTTAACGGGTCGAGTCGGGTCGGGTTAGCGGGTCGGGTTTGACTCTGTTTTGGTGACCCGACCCGCCCCGTGGGAACAGGTATTTGTGACCCGTTACCGGGCCGGTTACACCACGGGTTGGGTCGGGTCGGATCAAAATATGTTACATAGCAGCAGGGTATGGGGGTTAGGTCTGAATTGCTACATTGTAAACTACATGTTACAACTATATTCTTAAGTTTATACGTACCTTACGTTAGCCCAAGGTGCATAAATTCCAGGGCATCCAAACATGAAATGCAGTAGTTTTTTCGCTTCAAACAAATGTCTATGGCGTATGTCAATAGAACAACAACCCTGTTTTTGAAGTGAATGTCAATCAAGCATGGAAATAAATAAAATCTACTATATCTCCAAAAGGGTTATGGCAAATGGCCTAAGGCCTATAGCGACCACTCCCGCAGCAAACATTACTCAAAACCCATCGTCCTTGGCCTCATAGCACAACTCCACAAGCGAACGCGCAGCCCCTACCACGTTCAATGACCTGCCGCTCGTGTTCTGCGCCATCCATGACTTGATAGCCATGAGGGCCCTAACACGAGGGGCGCTCAAGCGGTGACGCTGCCATGTCACTACGTTCCTGCCCTGGCTAAAAGCACGCTCGCTCGCTGCAGATGTGGCTGGCACTGCCAGATAGTCCCGAGCCATTTCCCTCAAACCCTCTAAATCCTTCCTATCACGCCAGTACGCTAGCGGGCAACCCTTCTGTCTACCCTCAGCCAAGTATATGTCCACCTCGTCACTTCTCCGCCCCCCCCTTGCTGCCTCAAATGCATCCATCTGTGCAAAAAGCGCATTTTGGAAGCTAACCCCCCCGCTGCCAGCGGCACGCGACGTCCCTGCGGCCTGAACACTAACACCAGTGTCGTCAGTGACCTCCCCCATGCCACTCGTAGCCTCACCACCACCTCCCCGACTGCGCACTCTCTCCTGATATGCGACCAAACGATCGCACACCAGGCGCATCACCGTCGGCTCATCCACGCCATGCACACTCCTAGCACATCCCCCCACTTCTGTCACTTGCGCTGCATTGAGCGCCTCCCACTAGGGCATCTGGAAGAAGATGATCTTGTAACGGGGGTCAAGGAAGGTGGCAATCGCCAACTCTTCCTTGGTGCCGTACGGGTACTTCTTCAGCTTGCCGAGGGCTTTGGTGATGAGGGCCTGTGTCAGGGGTGAGACGGCTGGCTCGCGGTTGGTGATTTCCATGTTGTCCAGCAGTTGGTTGTACAGCGGCACCACCGCTGCAGCTGTCGGGTACAAGGAAGCCTCAGCTACCTTGGTGATCGAGTGGAAGGGCTGAAGAAAGTTCTTCAGCTCGACAAGCGCGTCCCAGTGGACGTCACTGAGACGTATTTTGTCGAGCTGCTCGCGTAGCCTACGGGGGGGGGGGGGGGGGGGGGGGGGGGGGGGGGCTGGTATAGGACAACAACAAGGGTGGTACAGAGGGTTCACAAACTTAGTATACAATGGTGATGAAGTTACTCGTTACTAGATGGGTCCCAACATTGAGCTGATACACCATCCATATAGCCTCTTCAGACATAGCGACAAACTATGCTAGACAGCTCAACCCCCTTTCAAATCCTGCCCATACTCACGACCCTTGGGCGCCACACCATTCTCCCACACTCACTATTCGATACAGTCACAACTCCTCTAGCCCTCGACCAGCTACCCAAACTCACCATTCAATATAGTCACAACCCTTGGTGCGCCACACCAGCCCTGTATACTCACCGTCACCCAACATATACACACTACCGGAGCCTATCACTCACGTCAGTCCGGCTAGAAAACACCGTCAGTGCCTGCTGCAGCTCCAAGGCACGGCAGATCATCTTGTAAGTGGAGCCCCAACGTGTAGGCGAGTCGGGGATCAGACGTAGCACCTTCGCGTTGTCTCTGCCTGCCAACCTGCACTGCAGACTGGCAAAAGCCTCTGACCGCTGGACCGACCATCCAATGTACGAACACGCATCCCGTAGGCGTTTCAACGCCTCCTTCACATCGTCCAACTTCAATGCCTCCTGCACTGCAATGTTCATGATATGTGCAAGACAGCTGTGTACGGAAAGGGCATAAGGGAAGGAAACAAATTTAGCTAAGGTTGATGTCACCTTGTGATAAAGTTACGACTACAGTATGCTGCCAAAGTGCCACATTTGAATCGATGCATGACAGGACGTACCGAACGTGACGCGCAATGTCGAGCAGTGGATTAGCTGTCCAGGCCCCTAGCCCCTCTGCTGGGTCCCCCGACAGAAGGCGCATCGCCTTGTTGTTGTTCTCCGCATTGTCCGTCGTCACAGCAAACACTACATCCTGCAGGCCACCCTCGGTCAAGATGCGCTCGAGGGTCTGTGCTATGAGAGACCCTGTGTGCGAACCCTCCAACTGCACGAAATCCAAAATCCCCGAACGTAGCCTGAAGTCACTAGTGATCCAGTGGACGGTCACACACATGAAAGCTGTATGGTTCTCACTGGTCCAGATGTCCAAGCTAAGGGACACCCTCCCCACGAGACCGTCGCCAAAGATCTCCTGCCTCAGCTCCTCTCGAGTCACCTCACTGAATGCTTGCATGTCCCGTGCCAAACGGTAACGTGACCCCAGCAAATCCTTGGCCGATGGATTGAGCAAGGCGACAAAGCGACGGAACTGGTGAGGTCAGGCAGGGACAAAGAAGCAAACACACACAAAGCATTGTCCCAGCTGTGTACCAGGGCATCCCAACCCAACCCAACTGAGATGTTCAGACAGGATTTGAGACTCCCGGTGCAGGAATAGAGGGTAGAGTAGTTGTTGTTTGACTCGCCAAAGCTCGGTCGATAAGACGAAACGGAAGATCCGCATCAACAAACAACTCCACGAGAGCACTGCATAGCTCGTCCTGCGACACCCTTGGAGTCATGAACGCGCGCATGTCAACACCACTATGACTCCCACTCCCTCCCCCCCCTGCGCCACTGCCCCCTGCGGCTGCAGCACCTGGGATGTTCGGCCAGGCAGCCGCGTGCTCCCATGCACCACCGTGCGGGTTGGGCACTGTTGGCCCATCGCCCAACACGCCATAGCCGCCCCAAGGAAACTCTAGGTCCTTTGGCTTTGCCGGGTCCAGGAACCGCCGTACCCAAATTTGCACATTAGGGTAGTGCGCGCGCTTGACATGCTTCCACCCAGTCCCCGTGCTACCCCCATCCCATCCCATTACGTCCCCACACACCCGACACGGACGACAACCATCCTCAAGCTCACCAAACATTCCCACAAGTAAACCAGAGTAGTGCTTCCCTGCCAAACCCTCAACCACCGAATCCTTAGGCAAATCCTCCTTTCATTGACGCTTTGACGCACGCCCACAACTCCCCGCTGTCCCACCACCCCGACTGATGCCACCAGCATGCAACGGCGTAGATCCAACACCATCGGACCGTTGAGTGGGTGCATTCCCTGGCCCTGGATCGGGCGCAGCCTCGGCCACTCTCCCACCACCACTGCCACCGCGCCCAGCCCTTGCAGCACTATGCGCAACCCTCCCAACCCTCCCCCCACCTCGTCCATCTACTGAGGGGCCGCTAGCATACCCCCCACTGCGCCCCCCTGCATTGCCTATGGCCTGCGCACGCGCAGAAGACCGACCCTGCCCGCGACCAACCCGTCCCCCCCCACGACCCCCTCGACCCCTTCCTCCCCGTCCATTATCCCCTCCATGTTCCCTGGCATTGTGGCCAGCACCCTCCTCCTCCTGCTCTTGCACCTCCTCCTCCACATCCGCGTCCCCTCCCGCCCCCGCTGCAGAGTCCTCTGCCGCCGCCGCCTCGACCTCCGCTACAGTAGGCCTATACTCATTATCATCGCCTGTTTCATCACGGGTCTGCCCACCACCCTGCCACTCTCGATGAGGACTGCTAGGCCAGTAGGAATCCTGTTCCTCACCCCCTACATCTCCGCCATCAGTCTCAACAGGGTGCTGTAGAGCACTACCCAGCATAAAGTTGGTTCGTGCTGCAGGTGTTGGAAGTCGATTAAAACTAGCTCCTGGCAGAGCTCGTCCTTCTTCATTCCCATCTCCGCCCCCCTGGTTAGTCTCCCCGTTCATATTGCGTTCATTGTAGCACCTTCGCGCTGCTGAAAGTGGCGCCTTGGCGCTGCTAAAGGTGGCACCTCCGCGCTGCTGAAGGTGGCGCCTTCGCGCTGATGAAGGTGGCGCCTTCGCAGTGATGAAGGTGGCGCCTTCGCGCTGATCAAGGTGGCGCCTTCGCGCTGATCAAGGTGGCGCCTTCGCGCTGCTGAAGGTGGCGCCTTCGCGCTGCTGAAGGTGGCCGCAATCGCGCTGCCCTATAGCGCTGCCTGATCGCGATGCTGAACCTGGCCGCGATCGCCCTGTCCTAATGTGGTGCCGCGATCGCGCATATGTGGGGCGATGATCGCGCCAATGTGGGGCCCTGATCGCGCTGAGCAAACGCGGGGCCGAGAGAAGGGTATTGCGGGGACGCGATCCCGCCAATGCGTGGCCGCACGCGCGCTGCTGCGCCCCTGGTCGTGCGACGTTGCGAAATGGCGGGAGTGCCAAACCCTAACTTGAAGATAATATGCAGTTTAAATAGTGCTAACATTGAAGAGTGAAGACTGTATGAGGCTCCCTAGCTGCAGCGCAGAAGTACTAGCCTTGATCTAGTCTAGCGACTAGATCAGAATGTCGAGGGAAAAAAAACCTAAAAAACCAACCGATGTTCAACCCCTACCCTAATCCGAAAACGGGTCGGGTAACCCTGTCATTTGACTGGGTAAGCGACCCGAACGGGACGGGTCAACCTGACCCATTGGGTCGCAAATACCCGTCACTAAATCACAGTGACGGGTCACGGGTCGACCCGACCCGGGCGGGTCGGCCTTCTCAGCATTCCTAACCCGACCCGCGTCCGGGTCAAATGCCCATCCCTAAGCCCAACAGAGCTTGCCGATATGAAAAAACAAATAGAGTATCTCCTGGAGAAAGGGCTGATTCGACCTTCGACTTCGCCGTATGGAGCTCCAGTTCTCTTCACTCCGAAGCCAGATGGAAGTCTGCGAATGTGCATCGACTACCGAGCCTTGAACAAGCAGACTGTAAAAAATAAATACCCGATACCACGGATTGACGACTTGCTCGATCAACTTCGCGGTGCTACGGTATTCTCCAAGCTCGACCTCAGATCGGGATACTGGCAAATTCGTATGGCGAACAACTCTATCCACAAAATCGCCTTTCGAACTCGGTGTGGGTCATACGAGTATCTCGTGATGCCATTCGGACTCACTAACGCACCAGTCACATTTCAGGCGGAAATGAACCACATCCTTCGGCCCCTTCTGGACGAGTGCGTGGTGGTATATTTGGACGATATCCTGATCTACTCGAAAGACATGAAAAAGCACGTTGAGCATCTGCGACGCGTGTTTGAAATTCTTCGACGAGAACGCTTCTACGTGAAACTATCCAAGAGTGAGTTTGCGTTGAAAAAAGTCCAGCTCTTGGACATATGGTGAGCGCTCAAGGAGTTCACGTGGATCCCAAGAAGATCAAAGCAGTGCGAACGTGGAAGACCCCTGAGAACGTGAAGGAGTTACAACAGTTCCTTGGATTCGCCAACTACTACAACCGGTTCGTACCGAACTACGTCAAGATTGCCGCACCATTAACGAACATGTTGAAGAAGAATACACCATAACGATGGGAGGCGAAGCACCAGGAAGCCGTGGAACAACTTAAAACCGCACTCACGTCCGCACCTGTCCTTATCCTACCAGACCCTGAATTTGACTTTGTCATCGAGGCCGATGCTAGCGATCAAGCAGTGGGCGCAGTACTCATGCAGGATCAAGGGAAGGGACTGCAACCCATTGCATACCTCAATAAAAAACTTCACGGGGCAGACCTCAATTACCCCATCCATGACAAAGAGGCCCTCGCCACCGTCAACGCATTTAAGGCATGGAGGTGTTATCTCGAAGGAAGAAAAACGACCGTCTACACCGGCCACTGCAGCCTCAAGTACCTAAAGACCCAACCAACACTCTCCAGGCGGCAGGTCCGGTGGATTGACTTTCTCGAAACCCACTTCTATTACGACATCGTGTATAAGCCGTGGCACAAGAACAAGGCAGACGCACTGAGTCGCCCTGCACACGTTGCCGCCCTACAAGTCGATGGCATGAACCCACTTTCGAAGGGACTCTTCACGCATGGATACACCATCGACCCCGAAGTCTCTGTAGCAGAAAAGCGCCATCTTCTACATTGGGATCAAGACATCGCATACCGCAAGGGATCCACAAAAAGATGGGTACCTAATTACCCTCCTTTACGCCAGTTGCTGCTCGAAGAATATCATGATGTTCTCTACGCGGGCCACTTCGGTAGTAACAAGACGCTTGCCGGTATTGCGAAGCATTATTATTGGCCCCACATGGCAGATGACGTACAAAAAGTCGTCACCTCGTGCGACACATGCCAACGGATGAAGAGCAGCAAACAGAAGAAAGCAGGGTTACTACAGCCTCTTCCAATCCCTGAACAGCCTTGGCAAGTGGTTAGCCTCGACTTCATCACCGGGTTACCACCTACCAAAGCTGGTTACGACGCCATTCTAGTCGTCATCGACAAATTCTCCAAAATGGGACACTTCATTCCGACACACACAACGGCTCGCATCGAGGAGACAGCGCAACTATTCTTCTGCTACGTCATCTCGCAACATGGCATTCCAACTACGCTGATCTCCAACAGAGACCCGAAATTCACGAGTAAATTCTAGAAGGAGCTAATGTCGCTCATGGGGACCAAACTCGCCATGTCATCAGCCTATCATCCCCAAATGGATGGTCATACAGAGCGCCTCAACCAGATTGTCGAACAGCTTCTGCAAGCAGCGTGTAAGGACGATATCTCTAAATGAGATGCACATCTGCCGGTTCTCGAGTTTGTGTATAACAATGCCACGCACGCCGCAACAGGGCAAACTTTTTTCTTTCTCTGTTACGGTCGCAACCCAGTCACGCCTCAGAAACCAACAATACCCGCCACGAGGCAACCCGTACATGACTTCATTACCACTATGCACCAATTGTGGGAGCGCACTCATAAACGTTTTCTGACTATCCAGCAGCAACAAAAGAAGCTCGGTGATTGGAGTCGCAACGATCATTCCATCAAGATTGGCGATCAAGTGCTTCTCGATACACGCAATCTCGACATTAGCCATCTTCCGTCTAAGCTCCGACCTCGCTTCTGCGAACCTTTTCTCGTCAAGGCGCAGGTCACTCCAGTAACCTTCCGCTTGCGTTTACCAGCTACCTGAAGAATTCACAATGCCTTCCATGTTCAACTTCTCAAGCCCTATCGGGACCCAAACACGGTCTTCAAAGGTCGCCAGCCGCCGCCGCCACTGCCAGTGATCGTTAATGGGGAACCCGAGTACGAAGTCGAAGCCGTTCTGGCACACCGACAACGACGTAGCGGCACCTTGGAGCTCTTGATTCGTCGGAAAGGTTGTGAACCTTCCGAGGATACCTGGGTACCTGAACACGACATGGATAACGCCCGTCGTCCTCTCCAGGACTACCTTGTCAAGCAGGGTGTTACTTCTACTACCCAGCTTTGAGGGGAGGAAGTGTGAGAGGACGTCCCCGATATAATATTTTTTCACAATTATATTTTTCCGTTATCCTCTTCTCCCTTTTCTCCTCTTTATTCTGGTCTTTATCTCATCTCAATCGGCCTACTATTCTATTTTCTAGAGCCTTCTATTTATTTCTCTTATTTCCTACTTTTCCCACCGACATACCTATTATACGGCACCGACAGCGCCGACAATAGTATATACGGTGTAATCTGGGCGTAATCCCAAGTGCCAATAGCCTTGCGTGCTTGTGCGCACTTGTGATTATAGTATCGGGAAGGGCGTGTTCCCGAAGGTTCGTTTTATCTCGATTATCCTTGAATTTTCCGAGTATAAAAATGCCTTGTATTCAGTTTGAGGGACAAGTTTCGATTGAGAATTCGATCCTGTGACAGCCGCGCATCAGCTCAACCTCTGGCCCCGTGTCTTCGTTCCGGAGACCTCGCCGATACTGCGTTGTACGGGAGAGGTTGGCGATGCGTCTGTGTTCCTGGTCTAGGGATTTCGTGCCTTTATCCGTGATTCGTCCGCGGACAAGCTCTCCTCCCGCACCCTTCCTTGTGTCTTCCTGGGCTTTGTCCCTGACGCGCCTGGCTGGCAGTTTTACCACCCCACCTTGCGCCGTGTCTTCCGCTCTAAAGACGTCACGTTTGACGAGTCGGTCCCCTTCTACCGTCTCTTCCCCTACCACACTGCCCCGCTTCCCCCTCCGCTGCTCTTCCACACGCTAGGTGCTGCCTTGGTATACCCCCTGCCTCCCCTGGGTCCTGGTCCCTCAGGTGTTTCCCAGGTAGACCCTGTCGAGCCTGTCGAGGTAGCTGTCAACTCTGGTCCTGCGCAAGGTACTGAGCGTGCTGAGCCTGAGCGTGCTGTGTCTGGGGCTCTTGAGACTAGGGGTGCTGAGCCTGGGGGTGCGGAGACTGCGGGTGCTGAGCCTGGGGGTGCAGACACTTCGGGTGCTGAGCCTGGGGGTGCTGTCCCTGAGGGTGCTGAGTCTGGAGGTCCTAAGCCTGGGGGTGCTGCGCCTGGGGGCGCTCTCTCTTCCCAGCAGCTGCGTAAGTGGTACTCTCGGTACTGTCGCCGCCTTTGTGGTGCTGCTGGAGCTGGAGCTGAGGGCGCTGAGCCTACTGGATTTGGTGTTGCTGCTGACCCTGGGGTCAACGCTGGAGGTGCTGGAGCGACTGGTCCTCAAGGTGCTCGTACTCGCAGTACTGGAGCTGCTAGGACTGGGGGTGTTGCTGGAGCTGGTCCTGCTGGAGGTGCTGCCGGTCCTGCTAGAGGTACTTGAGCTGCTGGTGCTGGTCCTGCTGGAAGTGCAAGAGGTGATGCT